AAAAAAATTACAAAAATCGATGTTAACAATCACCATGCAAGTAAATGAAACACCGAAAACAAACTTTTAAAGAACATACCAGGATTGTGGATACGATCCAAAAGCTTCACTGAGCGCGCGCTAACTACACCCCCAACGTGCACGAGAAATCCAGGAGGGAACGCCGTCAAGGTGAAAAACGGAAATTCCTAGTGGAAAGAATTGGGGGGGAAACACAACTGACCATGTGTAAAGTACAACAACGTGCTTGTTAAAAAGCCGGTCATTAAGAAAAGGAATTCTATCCCTTAACAAAAGATACCCATTATACACTACAGATGTGTTGTAAGTCATTCTCCTTGGATGGTCAGAGTTGTGCATCCACTTTCCCACATATATCATGTTATACAGAATCCCAACACTTTTTTTATCAATTCTCAATGAGAAAACAAACGTTCTCAGAGTTGCAGTTTGGGATACCTAAACACATTCTTCCTCTCAAGCTCCTACTCTGATTCAACCTTGCAATGAGATGGTGGGATTTGCCTGCCCCACTCCCCGCATCTACTTCTTGGTGGGGTAGATCCCCCAACACACACACACACGCACACACACACTCAGTTCCAGACTACAGGTGAAGGCTCTGAAGGCCTGGGGCAGGAGATCTAAAAGAACGTGGGACTGAGCGAGGAGGAGTGAGAGGATGAGCAGAGTAGCTTTAGGGCTACAGTGAAAGGTGAAGAGACGAGCAAATGTTAAGTTCAGGTGGGCAGAGAATTGCCTTGTGAGACTATTTACTCTCTCAACACAGGGGCAGCAGGGAAAAATGGGAATACATAAGTGCATGGTAAAGGAAGGGGACAGGTCTGTAGATGACAGCAAGGGAGGGAATACAACTGTACGAGTTCTTTCAGGCTTCATTCTCCCCTTCTCTCTCAAGGACATCAAATTCATCAATTGACAGAAGCATGCAAGAGAGAAACGGTGCAGCAGAGAAAGGAGATTCATTGAAACAGCAGCCAGGACGAAAGGGAGTTCCTGAGACTGCCCAAGTATGCCTCTCACATTATACAAAGTGGACACAAGTAAAGGAAACTTAACAGCCAACTTATCTGGCTGCAATATTAATGTAGCTCACTTAACCCGAAGTCACGTACCAGTAGCCTGAGCTGTTCAGGACATAACTGAGAACTGAAAGTAAGCAATACAGGGCTCTCAACAGTCGAAGAACTATGATCGTCCCAAGCACCCAACTGCACGTACTTCATTCGTAAGAGATCCCCACGGACCCTATTCATACCATGACATATGGTCCTTATAAATATGTAATTTTAGGAACATATTCTAAAATCTATCGGTATCTTTTTTTCTGGACCACCGCAGATGGAACGCAGCAAATAAAAGCTGGGAGATGAGAGAGATACAGAATACTACTAGAAGCAGGCACCTTTGACACAGCAAGATTACTGACTGGCTGCTTAAAGCATGGAGAAGACGAACTGACCAAAGCATAATTCACACAGCATAGCAACCTGGAGTCATTTAGCACAGAGGCAGACAGTCCTACACACTTCAGCAACCCACGAAGATACGGTATCAAAAACTGTGTGTGTGCGCGCGCGCGTGTGTAAACACACACACTCACATATTTGGAAATAAATTCATTAGAGTTTAAAAGTAATTTTTAAATTAACAAGGGCAAGAAAAACCTCAGCTACATAAAAAAAAAAAGAGTAAAAACCCAGTCAATGGGACAGACAGGTGTGGCACAGTTGATCGGCAGAGGAAAATGAAGAGAAGGGAGAGGACAGGAGGGGAATTTCACTTAAAAGTATTATTAAATGGTTAGTCAAAATGACTCCTTATTTCTATCTGAAATTTTTAAGCATAAATTTAAGCATGCACAAGGTCCTCGGTTCAAACCCCAGTTATCCCTCTAAAAATAAATAAATAAACAAACAAACAAACCTAATTAATTACCTCCCTTTCAAAAATAAATAAATAAATAAGGTTTAAAAAAAATCTTTTTAATGAGCAATGTACAGGTAAGCTTATAATATGAGAAACTTGAGTATTTTACCTAATGAGTTAGATCTTTAAGATATTTTTTCAGTTTAAAGAATACCGAAGTTTTAAAATTTCCTCAAACTACTGAGCGCTTGACACTTAATCATTATACTGAACATTGTAAATACTCTCTGGGTAAGAGACACTGAAAATAAAATTTTTGCATGCTTAAATGGAAGGCAGTATTTCTTCCTAAAATTGAGAAATAACTTAGGTAAATTCACATACTGGGAAACACATGCATGTAAGATTTTAGCTAAGTATGAAAAAAAATGAACTCAAGTGATTTCTCTCTTCCGGATTCCTTGACTCTTCTCTCCAAATTTCAGATGATGGGACTAAGGGACAGGGGGTAAAGCATCACTCTGACACTGGTCATGGGAGAAGGAGGATACTGGCTGCCCAGAGGCGGAGGCCCCCCGTGCCAAGTTCCACTCTGTCCTACAGGTCCCCATTTCATCCCGTCTGCACACGCCCTCACCTGAACACACAAAACTTAACCTAGAATAAAAACGGCCTTCTTACTCAACCAGCACTACCATCTCCAGACAGCTCTCTCAGCAGAACTACTGCCAGTTTCCCAGCTGACTGGTAAGTACCAACCATCTCCACCACCATCACCAGTGGCCCACCCTGCGCCTGTCCTGGCCACAGTACCTTGCAACTATGCTTCATCATCTTTCCCGAACCCTGAGAGGGAGGTACTATCATCTCCACGTTTCAAGTGGAAGACTTAGATGAAGAGGGTGTAGATTGTCTCTGAGCAACTGACTTTAGCATCTTGCTTCTTGCCCTTTCTGGTTAAAACGCTGAGTTAAAGAACTGATTTCAACCTCTAGTCTGTTGTTACACCTGATGAATTTATAGGTTCTCTTCCATCAAGAAGGACAGCTTCCTTAAGGTAAGTCCGAGCACACCCTGCTTTCAGTGTCCAGATGGGAATGCCAGGGACTGGAGAAGATCTCTCCCCCGGAAACTTCTTACAGTTAGACTGTCTCGCCCTGAGGAACCTAGTAAGGCTTCGTATGTTGATGCTCTGACAGAAGCCAAGTACATGCAGCATACATCTATTTAAGAGCATGTGCTCAAAGATGAGCTAGTTGAAAATTCTGAGAACAAAACAGGTAATTTTTTAAGCTTTAAATAGAAGTTTTCTTATAAGATATTTAAGCAGTTTGGACTTTTTTGAAACCAAAGATTCTTTTTATTATCCCAAGACACCAGAGCAAACGTTCCAGATATAAAAACTCCATGCCAGATTCCTACTATGACTTATTACATAATTTTACCCTCACTTTCAGAAAGATCATAATTTATCAAGAGCCTACTTTACATCAATATTTTGCAAAGTGGGCTCCTAATAGGTATTTTAAATGGAATATTCCGTGTTAAAATACATTTGGGAAATACTAGGTTAAACTAAGTTAATTAGGTTTCCTTACTGAAGAAAAATATAAATCCCATGATCTAAAAAGTAACTTTACTTTGCTTATAAGTGAAAAAAGAATCATATTGGAAAACAAAATCTATTGGCTTTACATAAAATAGTTCATAGGCAGAAACTAAATCTAAATCTTTTATCCTATTTCTCATCTCCTAATAACCTGACATCTATTACCAAGATCCTGTCAACTTATTTTTAAATGCTTTTGTGAGAGGAAAAAAACAACACATATTTTTGAGAACTGCTACTTGAAAAACTCATAAAATGAAAGATAATAGGCAAATTAAAGTTTCTCCTTTCTATAAGAAGAAAAAAGCCATGTAATTTATTAAGAGCAGCAAGGAGTATTTTTGAAATGAAGATATAAAATGATTTAGTAGGTCATGTGTTCAACTTATTTAGTGTCCAACTTGGCAGAGTTAAGGTATATCTGAACACATCCAGCCAAAATTCTTCATACTTCTGTACAAATTTTTCCCAAAACAAAACCATACTAATGGCAGCCAAAGGTGATGGGAAAGCCAAACATGATAATGCTTTTTCTATTATATACACAGGGTGGAGAGGGAGTCTCACAAATTCAAGTAACTGCCACTGCAAGGTTCAGCAATGTAAATATATTACCAACTCGGGTTTTACAAAGTTGGAAATGTAAACTACAGTTGTCCACATGTTTGCTGTTAGTGCCAGCCAGGATGATCTAGTAATGTGTGCCCAATGTGTTCATGTATCCAAAATTTTAAGAATGTTTAAAAGCATATTTGAAAACATAGATTTCATCCAAACTAAAGCCAAAACAATTGCCATCGATTAGTATTTTTTTCTTTAAAAGCAAGGTGCTTTTTAAAGTTCTTAGTACACAGTGAAGTCACAGGCTCAACATACAGGCAAAATCTCCTGACATCAAATGTCAAGGCAACTCAAGTTTTTCTGTTCGTGTGAATTCTAGAATGGTAATTAGACTACAAGAAATATTCCTAGTGTGAGGGACTCCAGAGAATGTAAAACTGGGAGGGGGAAGGCGAGAAGAGCATTCTGGTCTAAAAATACAAGTGTACACACACACCCTTACTCTTCGAAGCCCTCTTCCCTGTGTTGTCAGTCTTTCTCTATATTTGGTTTCACTGTATAGTTTGAATGTTTATGTGGGCTCTTTGAGGGCAGTGGCTGGTATGCCCGCCAGATGCAAGAGTAGCTTGAAAGGCGATTGCTGCCTGATAGGGTTTAAAACAAAGAACTGGGTATGGCTAAAGTCCCATCACTCTGCTTAGTCAGCTCTGTTCTTTCCAGCCTTGTCTACAAGGCAAACAGTGCACACAGATAATTTCAGCACCAGAAAAGAAAAGTCTAAAAAAATTACTTGCTGTTTTGTTTCTAATAACAGGATCTGAAAAACACTATTCTCAAAAGCCAGCCTCTGGAAAAGAAATCTTTGTTTTATAAAATGCATCCTTTTATAGGTATTTATGTTTCATCTTTTTTTTTATTATTTAATGCTAGTGTAAAATGGAACATGTGAAAGAAAACTCTGTAAACGCTTATAACTTCCAAATCAGACATAATGAAAGTTATGAAACTGTGCCTTAAAATAACTGACATGACATATAAAATCATGCACTGTATTATTAAGTAGAAAAAAAATGAGCCTCACAGTGCTATTAAATTTAAAAAAAAAAGGACTTTGCATTACGAAAAGAAAAAAAAGCTGGCAACATTTGTTAAAAGCTTAAATAAAACTTAAATGATCAAGATTAAAACTAGAACACATGAAATAGGCTCTCACACATCCGGAAACATACCCGCCTTCTACAGAACCTATGAGGCGATCCTCCCTTAGCAATGAAGTTTATACAAAAAAAAAAAAAAAAAAGACAAAATCATCCAAAAACTTTAACTATTCATTGTTCCATTTAACATATTTAACTAAACATTAAATTTATAATAATTAAAAGGTATATTCACATACTGAACAACCATATTATTTATGCTGGTCTACAGAAATATGGAATCTGCATTTCTTATTGCTAAGAGATTGGCCAGTGATTAAACAAATATATTAATTTTAGCAAATTCAGCAAATAAATATTAATATACTAAAGAATTATTTTAATACAACACAAATAAAATATTTTTCTAGGAAATTGTCTACTTTTCCTTTTATATAATTTCCAGATAAAATTAGAAATGATTTCACCATTCAATGGATATTTCCAAATAGACTATTTCTAATATAAGACTGGAGGACAAAACAAAATAGTTATAGAATTATTCCAGATTAAAAGTAATTATTCATAAAACAAAACTCTGATACCTTAAGTACATTTTGGATTGAAATTACAATATTATAGATAGATGACCAAAACCAGTTTATGGAAATAAGTTATAAATACATGGAAACATGATAATAAAATCACATTAACAGTGTAGGAATAAAGAATATTGAGTGACTCTTACCCTCTGTTCCAATGCTGACTGAGTCTGTTGTCTTAAAAGAGCTTTAAAGGGCCCCCCTTCTTTTCCAGCACTACCACTTCCCATTCCTACAGAACATCAGTACATAAATGACAACCAAAAAACAGCTACAGAAACAGAAAGTTTAATTGCATTCATCTTCATAAATATCATGAATCAAAATCAGTTAAAACAAACCAAATATTTAAAGCATTTGTGATGGCAACATATTTTACTCTATTTATTCACAACATTTTCTTTAAAAGCAAGATGTCAAAGTCCTACAAATCCCAGCTAGTTTTAAACTTAATTTACTCTAAAAAGTTACTTTTAAAATTATGCTAAGGTAATGAATTTTTATATAATATTCCATTTTAAAAGTTCAAACTTCTAATAAAAAATAATCAATATAATACCAATTACTTGTACTGTGCTAACAATTTAAGAATACTCAAATAAATAAGAGAAACATTAAATGTTTATTTAAAAGTAAATATAGAGAAAAAGTACTAGCTGTGCTCACTTAAAATATTCTAAAATTCTCTAAAGAGCATGAATTTTAGGTAACTTTGAAACACAGTCATATCTGTTTTCTGATAACTTCCCATTCCTAAACATAACATTCATGACAACATAGTACTAATACTCATATCACAGTTCTCAACACTCATTTACAAAAATTAACATAAAATCTTTTTAAAAACTAAAAATCATGGACATATAATAGACACATCACAAATGTATACAACTATGGATGAAATAATTACATTTCCCAAGCTCTTAGATGTATTTTTTTAAAGGCTTAATTTTAAATTTCTTTCCCTACTTTGTTTTATTCTTTTGATAATATTACTAGACCAACTATGGTCAAAGAATGATAGAAAGCAGGGGACAGGTGAAAAGCCAGTACTCTATGAACTATAGCTAATTAGTTGAGTCCCACCTTTAAAAACTATAGATACATACAGGCAGATTTACTACAATGACTTTAAAAAGGAACTAATTTACTTTTACATTTTTAGCTGTTCTTGGATAAGGAAACAAAGGTTAGCATGTGTATAGCCCCATTTTGTTCCTTAAAAATAAGAAAGAAACTTATTTTTCTTGTAGTAACCTAAATATGGTTTTTTGAGACTATACAATACTAAACACAGAAATGAAACTAAGATCTTTATATGAAGCATACTGAAAGCCATAAAATAAAATGCAATTTTGTTGAGATAAATGAAACATCAGAAAATACAGAGTAACTTGAAAATTAATGCAATGGACAGAAAAAAATGCATAATGAAAGAATTGTCACAAAAATGAGACTTAAACTGATTCAAACAGAATAATTTAATAATGTAACCATATGGTTTAGCAACATGATGATATGGGTCCAACATGAGTGGAGTTGGTGTGAAGGGAAAGAAAGTAAAGCATCTAAAACAGAAACTCTAGTAATGAGAACCTAATTATTGGAAATATGCAGATCTATGTCCTCAGACATATAATTTTTAACATATAAAATAATTTTAGCAGAATATTCATAACTATCCATCAAGTAATTCTCAATTACATTTTCATGATAATTCCAATCATTTAACTCTGTCAGTAAGAAAAATCAGAAGTACATTCTGCATAAAATACCCAACACTTGTTTATGGTATGAAATAATTAATTTTTTTCAAACTTGCTTTCAAATAAAGGGATTAAAAAGCTGACATAATGTGATCCTACCAGAAGCAGCCAGGAACAGCTCTTCACTGAAAGAAACACTTTTCCTCAGAACTGGGCTGACAAGGCTAGAAGGATGAGGGGGAAGGCTAGATTCCGAGAGGAGGAGACAGGACTTTTTAAGATGAAGGGAACCACGAGAGAGAGGGGGGGAGCTGGGACACAGGTAAATCCTAGGCCCCTGTGGGTAAGGTGCTGTGGAGGAAAGTAGCAGAGAAAAGATGCAGATTCAGAAGATGATCAGAAAATGCAGAATAAGGAAAGCAATGATGAAGCAAAACATAACAGTAAAAATGAAGTGCAAAATGCATGTAC